GGTCGCCCAGCGGGTTCGGAGGGCAAACCGCTGCTCTGTGCAACTTCCAGTCAGACAGCGAATGAAGTTGAACCCCCCAAAATTTTACGAGCTTTTATATGCAATAACACTTCAGTTATTTTTACATTCTGCCTGTTTTGCAGCTTTGCTTTTTCACTCTTAACAGGCTAACCTTCCAACTTACGGCAGGGGAGGAAGTTCAAGGCTTACAACAGGCGCCACATCTCTGATATTAAACAAAATTGAGGAAGCTAGGAGAAATACTAACTACAGAAGTCCATGCTGCTGGTACAGTGTTTACCATGAACAACTCATTTCTTGTTCCTGCTTTGCCAAAGCGGGAGTTCAATGCTAACCACACCACGGAGGAGGTTTACAGAACAGGTTTTAGTGTTAGCAATGACCTCTCCATGCCTTAAGTTCATTTGAATGTGGATGTGAAGAAGCAAAAATGCCCCAACCACTTGTACGAGAAAACCAGTAAAAATTCAAGTCCCAGCAAGACACAAAACTGTGCAGAAACCGAAATACCTGTAGGCAGACCTTATTGCACTGAAATCCCTAGGCTAATTCACAGGCAAACAAGTATGCGTATGTAAGTGTAACACTGGGCCGTAAGAAGATGAAAGCAGCTACAAGTCTGTACTGGTGGATACAAGGTCTGCAGAAAACCTCAGGCTTGTTAAGTCGGTTTGCAGCACAACTTCTCCAAAGACAGGTATGTGGCCTTCTAAGAACAGTGTGGTGTGTGGGAGTTTTAGAGGAGAAACAGATGGGGAAGAACCGATTTCATGTTTTGCTGACTGTAAACTTTCAGTTTAACCCAATTTCTCTCAGGGACTGCTACTGCTAATAGATTAGAGTTTTAATAAAGGCTTCTGGAAAATTTATTTCATTTTATTATGGAGAAATTACTTGATGCTGCTGTTAAATTCAGGAATAGCTGAAAATGCAAATAAAAATTATTTTCTGTAATTTTCAATAATAATTTCTTTTATTCCCCAAGAACTTGCTTTGTTAGATAACTGGAAACCTATCCAGTTTCTTTTGACTGTACAATGTTGCACACTACAAAATACAGCAGCAGGGGGAGCTTCTGCTCCAAACAAAACAGACCCAGAGAACGCTGGAGAAATATGAAAGCGATCCAGAGTTGGAGAGAAGTTAGGGGGAACAAGGAGAAAGGTAATGAGTGTCCCGCCCAGTTGAAAGGGATCAAAGACGTGACAAATGCAAGAGAGCAAAGATGTAACACATGAAAGACAGGAACACATAAAAGAGGACAGGGAACCACCATTCTGTCTGACACAATCTCAGTGAACACCTTCAAAGCAGCTTATTTTTTGCAGGTCCGAAGAATAAAGAGTTTCACTTTTCATAGATGTGTAGTTTAAAATAATAGTTTGGATTCAGCCTACTGACATATGAGGAGCAAAGTCAGACTGCACAAGGAAACCAAAGCTGAGTCAGCTAAATCCATGTTTCTGATCCCATGTACAACTACAAAGTAGTAGGGCATACAAAGATGGCCTTTGGCAGTTCGGAGTTTGTTCGGACTTGCATTATTTGGATCTCCCATCAGGTTTTAGGCCTTAAAAATACCAGCTTTTCATGCTTCTGTACCACAGGAGCAATAACCCAACCCACCCCTCTGCATGTAAGCTGTCAAATAACCACAAAATCAAAGGCAGGGACGGAAACGTGTAGAACGGTAAGTAAGTACGCAAGAGACTCCAGGACAGCAAGAAAAGAAGCAGCTTTATGAGAGAGAAATGCAAAGTGAACTTTGCATTATATTATCCACATTGCTGCTGACTTACAGAGGGTTTTGTTTGCTTTTACAGATAACCCACAACCTAAACTGCAGTAATTAAACATATTTTAAAATTAATCCTTTTGTTGCCCTTGTTTTTGGAGGAAAGGCAATAATTAAAACATTGGGAAATAATTTAATAATAAGAGGTTCTTAATACTATAGTAGCACAAATGTGTTTTACATTGCTCTAAGTATATCCAGTTGGGAAGAGTATCTGAGCTCCAGTATAACTCTGACCCACAAGGAACTATTAAATTGGTATGGCAATAGAAATAAATAGGTAATTCTGCATTTTACTAACACAGAGGGGACAGTAAATGGGATTTTTAAATGCATAGGAAACATAAAGTTGCAGTTCAGATTAAGCTGAGCTAAATGTAGGTTGCCATGGAAAAGGGAGGTCCCACTGATTCCCTAGCCCCTGTTTCCAGCTCTGCTTCATTTTCCCCTCCCTTTTGCCAGCGTTAGGGTGCCTGTGGCTGCAGGATGAAACTGCAACTGATATGGCTGAAAATGAATTGTTATTCTTGCACTGATTTATTTTTTTTACGGGTTAGATTTCAGCCAGGTTGGAACAAGAGCACCACTTCGAACAGAAGAGAACTTTGTCACTGGGACGGAGGGGGAAGACAAAACTACCCCTTCTGGCAGCTCACATTTAGATCAAATGAAATCGGTCCTGAAACTACAGCTTGACACATGAATATCAATCAGTGAACCGCTTTAATTATTAAACCAGGAATCTTGAAAGCTTTTGTAGAAGCTTACATACAAACATGCTCATAGTGATACACTACAGCTGAAAGAGATTGAAAATGGTGTATCTCTTTAATTTTTACACTCTGACCAGCCAGTGAAGTTCATAATAAGTGAGGCTGGATAAACAACACGACACTGACGTGCAGAACATTCTTTATCAGCTATTTGCTCTTTATAATCTATAATCATTTCTCCTGAATAAGAAATCCATTTTTTAAATTATTTTACTTGTAATATTTAAGCACATAAAACCATGACAAGTTTTGGTTCTCTTCCTCCCTTCCCCCCCCTTCTGTAAATATACTACTTGTGTATTAACACTATGAGACAAAGAGTACAGTACATCATGCATAGTGGATACAGTCTGTGTCCATAGCTCTATACTTGTCTGTATCTTCTCTAGCTTTTTCCAGTAAAGAGATGTAACTAGATGGACTTCCTCAAATGTTCTTGATTTCACTTCTCACTCTGCAACTTCAAAATCCTCTTGCTGGTTTCTATAGCAGTTCTGTCCTTCCAACAGATTGCACTGAAGATCTAGCAATAGCTGCGAGGGACATTCTCGTGGTTCAACATCACCTCAGAGACACACAATTTACGTACCGAACTCTGTACCACCTTTCACAGACAAGGCGGTATACAGATAGACGGTTCACATACTAAAGAGATCATTCAAAAGAGCTCTGCTACATTGCAAGGTTTTCAGAGGGGAACTGCTACTGCTGGACTCTCTGAGCATGCTTTGAAGTACCAGATGGGAAAAATCTTGTACATATTATTCTAAGTCAAGTAAGTTATTATCTGTACTGTATATATCTCAACACCTGCCTGCCTGAGGCAGTGGAAGGACCAGGAGCTGGTATCACACCCACTATTTGGTAGGACAGAGGCAGAGGAATAGTTTAGACCAGAAGAGTGACCTGCTCTATAGGATAAGGAGCCTGTAGTTGGCTTGAGCCATATACCGCCTAAAGTAACAACTCATAGCTCAACACAAACTGGAGTCCGTACCTGGGGCTGTATGCTCACAAGTCCCACTGGTCACCATCTTCTGTCCACAGCTGGGCAGGCACAGACATATTCTGGGACCTGGATGTCTTGCCTTTCCTCTCCTGTCCCCAAGACACACTTCCTTGCACAAGCTTCTTTGACAGGAGAGGGAGGAGCCTTCGCCTCCCACCCAATGGGAGTCTCTATAAATGTTCTCCTAACTCTCCTTTCCTGCAATTCAGGACCATTATTTCTTATCCTGTGTTCAGGGAACATGCAGAAGAGTTTATTTTCATCTGTTTTTTTGCTACCATTTTACAAGGAAAAATCGTTACCATTTCTGTACTTCTACATCCCTCGTTTCATGCCTAAGAGTTCTAGGTGAACTGAATACCAGGTA